TAAGGATTGTTCTATCTTATTAAAGTACTAATCTTTTTATCATTATCTGCTACCTTTTTTATCTTTTGTAAATCTGACTCATCTGAAATCTGCTCTTTATGAAATGAATTTATAAACACTCCTGCTTTCTTTTTATTAGTGTTAGCAATGGTGTACCTGTCTCCATTCCTTTGATTTAATCTATTTGTCTTGCATTTAAGTTGCCTTCTTGGGTCTTGCTTTTTAATTCATTCTGATAACATCAGAATGTTAGTTAATGGCCTAGATCATTGTTTTTTTAATATATATTTTTATTGTAAAGATACTATACAGAGAGAGGGTTACAGTTACATGAGTAAGGTAATGAGTACATTTCCTGTCAAGCATTGTTACCCCCCCCCTTTGTTACTCCCTACCATCTCTTCCCTCCCTACCTCTCCAACTCTTCCTCCTCCCCACACAAAATGTAAAGTTCATTTTCAACATAGTGTCTTGTACATCTCATTGTTATAGTGGGTCAACCTGTATCCTTGTTTCAGCATTTTGTTATTTCCCTTCCCCTCCCCAAATTAGATGTGTATGCAAGGGTACTGGAACCAAATACAGTGAAAACAGGGGTTATACCATGGAGGAAGAACATATGAAAGAAAAGAAATCACATAGTACATTATAAATACATTAAAACAATAGCAACAAAAAAGATCCTCGTATATCCCCATCTTGGGGTTCATTTCATTTAGTATCATCTTATATAGTCATATGTGCATAGTTTTTTACCTTTTCTATTTTTCTGGTAAGATTATCCTAGACGTATACTAGCTATTGCAAATAACTATGTTTCTTTGGGCCTGGCTTACTTCACTTGGTATAATTTTTTCAAACTTTCCATTTCCTAACAAATGGCGCTGTCATTCTTTCTGATGGAGGCATAGAATTCCATTGGATCATTGGGTTTTTGTTTCTTTGTTTTTGTTTTTGTTTGTTGGTCATGGGGCCTGAACTCTGGGTCTAGGCGCTGTCCCTCAGCTCTTCAGCAAGGCTAGCGCTCTACCTACCACTTGAGCCACAACACCACTTCCGGCATTTTCTGCTTATGTGGTGCTGAGGAATGGAACCCAGGACCTCACACATGCAAGGCAAGCACTCTATGACTGAGCCACCTTCCCAGCCCTGATCATTGGTTTTAAAGTGACTAGAGACATTGATGGATTAATATCTGCCATATTTACTATTATAGTTTATTTGTTGCCTTTGTTCTTGGTTCTTACTTTTGTCTCCTACACTTTTGATGTCTCCACCTACTCCTGTGGGTGTAATTGACAAAAAATGTACATATTTAAGATATAAAACATGACTTTAAAAAATGAATTGTTGAGGCCCAGAACCAGTGGCTCATGCCTGTGATCTAGCTACTCAGGAGGCTGAGATCTGAGGATCATGTTTTAAAGCCAGCCTGAGCAGGAAAGTCCTTGTGAGACTATTTATCTCCAATTAACCACTCAAAAACTGGAAGTGACACTGTGACTCAAAGTGGCTGAGTGCTAACCTTGAGCAAAAGAACTCGAGAACAGCACTCAGGTCCTGAAATCAAGCCCCTCAATGGACCAAAATTTAAAAAATAAAAAATTTTGGGTTAAGATGTAGCTCAGTATCAAAGCACTTGCCTAGCAAGTGCAATGTCCTGGGTTTGATCCCAGGACCAGCAAAGAAAAGACAAAAAATGTGTACAGTTTAAACCAAACCCAACAAGCAAAGAAAAAAAATGAATTATAGTTTTGAGGAATTAACAAGGACCTCTCATAAATGCTAGGCAAAGAACTCTACTAGCTATAGTTACTCTATACCCTGAACATGATGTGTTGATATATACATTCATCGTGAGATAATTACCACAGTTAAGGTAATTAGTATACTTATCACCTCATATTGTTTTATGTATAGTGAGAACATTTAAATTCGGCTCTTTTGTTTGGGTGGCTTTCTTTTGTTAGAGACTGGACTTTTGAACTCAGTATCTGATGCTTTCGCTCATTGACGAGGACTCTACTATCTGGCTGCATTTTAATTGGGCATTTTAATGATTGTGTTTCTTCTCTTCTTTCTTTTTTGCTGGTCCAGGGCCTTGAACTCTGGGCCTGAGCATTGTCTCTCAGCTTCTTTGGCTCAACATTAGTTCTTTACCACTTAAGCTACAGCACCACTTCTGGCTTTTTCTGAGTAGTTTCTTGGAGGTAACGGTCTCACAGACTTTCCTGCCCCCAGCTGGCTTCGAATCATGATCCTCAGATTTCAGTCTCCTGAGTAGCTAGGATTATAAGCATGAGCCACAAACATCTGGCATGGTTCTTCTCTGTAATAGTCAGTTACATGATTTTTAAACTTCCTTAGTGATTGTCATAGAGTTTGCCATATACATATTAGCATTATGCCACTTTACAGATTAGATGAGTACTTCATAATAGGAAAGTATTCTCCAAAGCCTCTATACCGGCATATATACTCCATCCACATCCCTGGTAGAATACATCGTTATTATTTTGAACATACTTTAACCAATTAAGTAAAACAATAGCTGAGTATATGAGGTCGAAAGCTTGCCTAGCTAAGTATAAGGTTTTGAATTGAAACTACAGTATCACAAAAAATAGTTTTCTTTTACCTTCACTTAGTTCTTCAGTATCTTTTTTTAAATGTAATATGAATTTCTTACCTACATAATTTTCCTTGAAGATTTTCTTTTACTGTTTCTTATAAAATAAGTCTCCTGGTCACAAATTTTTGCTTAACTTTTGCATTTGAAGGATAATTTCAGAATTTTAAGTTGGACTCATTTGTTTGTTTTCTTTTCTCAACAAATTTTGTTTACATAGCTTCTGTTCTTTTATAAATAAGGTATTTTTCTCCTCGGGCTTTTTTGAAGATTTTTTTCCTTTATCTTGAATTTTCTAAAGTTAGAGTATAATATGCTCTGGTATAAAATATTGTATTTTTGTTGTTGGCATTTGTTATGTATTGTGTTCTTTGAGTTTCCAACGTCTATAGTTTGATATCTGACCCTAATGGGAAAAAATTGTTGGTCATTATTGTTTCAAATATTACTTCTCATCTTTTCTCTATTTTCCTCCCTTTAACATATCTGAATGTTCTGTTGTTTCTCTAGACTGTTTTCCCTTTGTTTTTCTGTTTGGGAAGTTTTCTGTTGTGATACTCTGAAACTCAGAGATCCTTTTCTCAGCTGTATTCAATCTGTTTATAAATTTGTGAGAAGCATTCTTTCTTTCTGACAGTGGTTTTGGTCTCTAGCATTTCTTTTTCATTCTTTATTACAATTTCCCATTTCCTGCTTATGTTACCTATTTAGTTTTGCATATTTTCTACTTTTTCCTTTAAATCCCTTAACATATTAATCATAGTTTTTTAAATTTCTAATTTCCTGCATTCCTTCCATATATGACTCTTGTTCTGTTGTTTGTTCCTTCTTTTAAAACTTTCTTCCTTTTTGTTCCCCGTTTATCTTGCACTTTTTGTGGAAAGGCAGATATGATGTACTTGGGTAGACAGGGTAGAAAGGGGAAAAGAGCTCCAGATAGGAGACTGTTAGTAATGTAAGATTTGGGAGATGCTGGGTCTGTAGTGTGTGGTTCCATCCATTGAGAGTATGTATCTATTTTAAAACTCCATTCCAAGTATATGTGTATATATACATATGCATGTACATGCATATGTATATATACATATTTACCTTACATAGTTACTTATTTTTCCTGTATAGCTGTAACTTTATTCCTTTGAGTAACATCTATGTCCCTGTTCTATGTAATCATCCCTTCCCCAGCCTTCATATCACAATTCTGCTTTCTGTATGTGTGAGTTTGATTATTTTAGATTCCATCCACTTATTAGAGAGAAAATGGGGCTTTTGTCTTTGTACCTGCCTTATTTCGTTAGCATAATGTATATGTACATTATAAATATGGATTTATAAATAAGTCTATACTATAATAATTTATAAACCTTATAAAATATATAATAAAATAATGTATAGTATACATATTTTGCAGTTTATACACATATGTGTTATACACATACTTATGTGTATCACATTTTCTTTTTCCACTCATCTGTTGATGGGTAGTGATTGTTTACTTGGCATTTGTGGATAATGTTACAATGAACTTGAGAGTACAGATATGTCAAATAAGCTACATATCCAGCATTAAAGATGCCTGGTTTTGTGGAAATTCTCTTATTAAATATTGAGGAACTTCTATATAATTCCATAATGACTGTACTAACGTATATTCCTTCTCAATATGTTCATCAGCATACAATATCGTTTTTCTTTATAGTAGCAACTATAATGAGTTGATACAATTCATGATGGTGTTGATTGTGTTTCCCTTGTGACTAGTAATATTGATCGTTTTTCATATACCTTTAGACCAGTTGTATAACTTCTCAGGAAAAATGTCTATTTAGTCTATTGTATATTTTAAAAATCAGATTCTTATTTTGCTATTAAGTTACTTGAATTCCTTATGTAGTCTGGATGTTAGTGCCTTTTGGGAAGATAGTTGGATATTTTTGATTTTTGGTATATTTTTAGTCTCAGCCATGGAAAATGTTGTTGATAACTAATCAATAAACTAATTTTATTGCTTTTTAGTTTTAGGAAATGTCCTCTGATCAAAGTTATTTTATTGTTTTTTCAGTAAGTTTTAGGTTAAGTACTACCATACCATCTCATGGTTATTCTTAGAAAGGCAGTGGACTTTAACTAGAGGTAGTAAGACAGTTAATGGAGAGTACGATCTTATTTTCTATTACTGACCTTTTAATAATATGGCTAACTAGAGTGATTTAGTTTTAACTAATTATCAAGTTAATAGAAGTTCATTTTAAATAAAATGCCATTAAATAAAATAAATAAATGAATAGCATACCTTTATGAATAAGTCTTAATTCCTAAGAATTTTCAGGTAAAGATGAATTCTAGGAATGCTTTCTTTCCTTACCTATAGGGCAAAAGTTGGATTGTTAAAAGAAGTTATGAAGATTTTCGGGTACTTGATAAACATCTTCATCTCTGTATTTATGACCGACGGTTTTCCCAGCTCTCAGAGCTTCCCCGTTCTGACAGCCTGAAGGAGAGTCCAGAGGTAAGCATTTGCTACATATGAACCAGAAGTTATTGTTAGTATTAAATAAAAACTTGGTTGAACACTTAGAAACTGGGATTTTTTATTTTATTTCATAATGGGAAACAGTAAGATGTTTAGGATTAAAGTAGGCTCAGTGTATAATTTTAAGAAAGTAAAAACTCTTAGCAATGATATATAAACAGACAATGTGTTAAGAGACCATTCCAATGAAGGGATAAAAATAAAATGAAAATGTGAAGTTTTCTTCACTAATAATTAAAGAAATCTGTGTTTAAGTGCTGTTTGTTGAATTTAGGATGATATGCTGTAGGTATCTATTCTCACCAAAAAATTCTAGTAAAACGAAAGATCATAAACCGTTCTTTTGGTGGTATTAGGGTTTGGACTCATGCTTGCTAGGTAGATGCTTTACTTTTGAACTATTCCTCCAGCCATTCTTTGCTTCATGTTTTTGAGATGAAGTCTCACTTCCTGTCTTGTACACGCATGGATTGTGATCTGCGTATTTTAGACTTCCCATTATATCTTGGGTGATAGCTCCTTTCCTGTTGAGATGGTCTTTAGACTTTTCTGCCCAGGCTGACCTGGAACCACAATCCTCCCTATCTCAGCCTTCTATGCAGCTGAGAGATGAGAGCTGCAGATAAGAGGCTTATATCAATGTATACTAGCTGTTGATTGACTTAGGGGTGTCTTGTGTACACCCAAGCTGGCCTCCAACCATGATTCTTCTGTTCTCAGCCTCCAAAGTAGCTGGGATTTCTAGAATGAACCACCATTAAAACAAAGATTTTTAAAATGTGAAAAAACATTGCATCAATGAACAAAAAAAAATGCTATGGAGGAATCAAAATTTGTGAGGTATATTGGGAGTAACTGGGTAAGATTTATAGAGAAGAGAAAATAAAACCTAAAAACCCATATACTATATAGAATGATTGCAGAAGATAAATAAACCAGTTTTCTACAGAGCACTGAATAAATAAAGGAGAACTGATAAGGATGTGTAGAAAATAAGGCTATTCTCCTTTAAGTGGGAGAGAATCTGTCAAATCCATGAAAGGAAAACAATTTTATAAAATGAAATAGGTCTTGGAAATGAAAATATTATTTAAGTTAACTTTAGTAATAGCAAGCCTGAATAATTGAACTATATACAAAATGAACACAGGTAAGGAGAGAATTGGAGAGCTAGGATATGATATGTTTAATAAGAATACAACCTCTGAAAGGAAAAAAAAAACCTAAGAAGTTGGAAATTGTGGAGAATAAGGCCAGAATAGTTCCCATTTCAAAGGGTTGTAAGGGAAGAGAATAGATGGAAGGAAACAATTAAAACATGATTAATATACAGTTCACTGGAGACAAATGTTTTCAGATTCAAATTGTCAATTAAGTTCTGTCATATAATGAGTGGAGACTCATATTTAAGAAACATTGTAGCTAAAGCAAAATAATAAAACAAAATCCTGAAATTGAGAGAGAACAAAGTAGGTTTCCTAAAAAGAACCAAAATTACTCATGCAGTCTTCAGCCACAGTGGACTAGAGAGCAGTGTAGGCACAGCGAGGGAAAGTCATTTTAAGGCTAAAATGAATCCCAATTGATGGTATTAGAGGAGTGAACACCAGCTCTCCAGGAACTGATTAAGGCAGAAGCTCAGGAGTGTACAAAAACACAAAGATCCTGCATGCCATAGAAAATCTGCATGTCTCTCTGCCTTTATTTCCCAACTCTGCCTTTCTTTTTCACCTTCTTGCCACAAACTTTCATTCCAGAACAATGAACCACACCATACCGAGGTATAGAAGTGAATGAATGTGCTGCTTCTGCCTCACCATGTGCTGAGAAGATTATAGAGAGTCTGGGGTCTTCATGTAAAAAGGCTTAAGAGGAAAAAAGCTAGGCATTTTCATTTAACAAAAAGTAGGAAGAGAAGCAATAAAATCTGAAGCTATAGAATAGTATGAACCCTGACCATTAGGTGAGACCAGGGTCCAAATTACTGTGGAAGTGCCCGTGATTTCAGTGGCTACTCTACAATTGTCAAAATGCCTAAACATCTATAGAAATTTTTTCCCTAGAAAGAATCAATTTATAGGACAGTTTCTCAGGCACAGAATGTAGTTTCTTCCTCCTCTGAGTTGTGCTGGGCTTTTTTCTCTTTTTAGTCTGTCACTCAGATGCTCATGGCTTACCTGTCACGCCTTTCAGCTATTGCTGGCAACAAGATCAACTGTGGTCCTGCACTTACCTGGATGGAGGTATTACCCAGTTTACCTTTGATGAAAGTTTATTTTAAAATTATTCACTGAAGTTTAATATTAAGTTAATATTTGATAACTATTGAATTTTCAAAATCAGCGAAATTAAATTTATCATCTACTAGGAGAAGGTCATGTGATACATGACATATTTTTCATTTCAAATCTTTAATGATTTTTGGGTATTTAATTAATGTTATTATTAATATTGATTTTATATTTGATTAATATCAATACTTGACAAATATCTATTTTTTAGTTGACTTGATCATGGAAAACATTTTTAGTTGTTTATGAGCAGATGAAAGCTATTCACAGGTTCTGATTTAAGCATATTGTGAGTGAAACATCCAGTAAATGTATTCAATATTTTTTATTCATTTGTGCATATGTAGATTTATTCTATGCTTCCCATAGAAATTGGGAAGGCAAGGTTAGAATATAAAAATATGTACCAAGCCAGCTTGAGCTTGTACTGCTATCTTGACTTCTACAGTATTGCCTCTGTTATCTTGGAAAAATAATTTAACCTTTTTAAATTACAATATTTCTTTTAGCTTTAGCATCTTCACCTTTAGAAATGACAATTACATTTATAAATATCTTAGAAATATGAGGATTAAATAAAAGCATAAAGATTACATATGTAGCACAGCTGTGCTATATTAGCTGGTATAATTAGGGTTTTTTTGAAAGACCTTTTAGATATATTGTCTTTCTTAATTGAATTACCTTTTATAGTCATGGATACATTTGCAAGCTCCATGTCTTTAATCATCTCATGGTTCATGTTCTTCCTTACAGATTGATAACAAGGGAAACCATCTTCTGGTTCATGAGGAATCATCCATCAACACTCCTGCTGTTGGTGCTGCCCATGTTATAAAGAGGTACACTGCTCGGGCTCCTGATGAACTGACTTTAGAGGTAAGTACTAAAGGTGCCTCATCCTTAACTATTTTAATAGTTGACTCACTTAATGTTTTTTGAAAAATATTGAAAGTGCCATGACTTTCTGTAGTGTTTATCTTTCAGCCTGGGATGGTTTCTACTTCTGTTTAAATGGTTGTACTCATCCTTTAATCCTCAGATGTGGTGTTTTAGGAAGCAGTTCTTGATCTCAGTCCATACAGACACCACACCCGCAGTGTTGGATTGAGTCACATTAGGAACTGCTTTCATGGCTAAAATGTATCACTAACTACATTTAATTAAAGTTTTCTTTCTCAATGGACCTCTTAAAAGCAAAGTCTTTATCTTTGTGTTTTTTTGGTGCCTAACAACAATAATACTAAAGGATACCTTTTTTAAATGTTTGTTAAAAAATGTAGTTGAAAAAGCAGATGAAAGGTATTATCAGATGCAAAAGTACGTGAATTACTTCTTCCTCTAAAAGAGACATTAGCTGTTGGGAGATAATGCTATTCCATCTTAAGAAAGAATAGTATACATTTTTTGCAGAATAGAATCTGAACTATTCTCAACCCTAATGTTTTATAGAAAAAGAAATGCAGGACTTGAAAGATGCCATATTGATTAGCAAACAGAGCTTTGAAGATGACTTGTACATGACTTGAAAAAGTCACTGTAAATATATGAAGACAGATTGCTAAAAATTTGCTACTGTAGATCCATGGTATAGACAGGATCTTAGGAAGACTGCTGCTGAGAAAAATGTAAATGCCTAGAATGTATATAGTTCAGTACCTTAAAATTATTTAAATTTATTTAGATTCTATGTATAGTAGGTCTAGGATTCCATAACTTAAAACTGCATAAGGTAGGCTTCATTACTGTCAAACAAAAAAATGACTGCTATTCACTTTCACTGCTCACCAAGAACTAACTCTTACATCCTACTCTTTATTTCAATACTTTAGATCTTATTCTTTTTTTCCCATAACACTACTTAACTTTGGCTAAAATCTGCCATCTTTCAGCAAATATATTTTCACTTTATCATTTATTAGACACACTTTACTAGCTTCCCAAATAACTAGGATTACAAGCATCAGCCACTGATGACCAGTTAATTTTTATGTATGCACACACACACACACACACACACACACACATTTTTTTTTGGGGGGGTGATACTGGAGTTTGAACTCTGAGATTTGCACTTGCTAGGTAATTGCTTTTCTGCGTGAGCCACACTTCCACCCTGATTAATGAATGTAAATAAATAAATTATCATACAACAATTATTATAATTTTTATATTTATGATTTTGTTTAGAGTTGTATAAATTCATTCCTTTATGATCTCCAATAGAAAAAATAGCCCTTTATGGAATATTATATTGTAGTATCTAATGAAAGAAATGGAGTTATAAAATTTTACACATTAGTACTCCTCTTACGTCTTTTCATATGTGATTAAGATTATGTCAAATGTTTAGTAAAGTGAATTGTGCATGGTAGGTAGTATTATCTCATTAGTAGTATTTGAAGCAAAGTGAATCAGTCATTTGTAGTGACATTATTGGCTAAGTACAGAAGTACCTTGGCTGAGGATGGGATTTCAGTCAAATTTAAGTTGAAAATTTCATTAAATAAAAACTGCATTTAGGTAGATATGGTGGTATATGCCTGTAATATCATTATTGAGGAGGCTGAGGCAAGAGTATCAGGTCAGCCTGGGATACATAGTAAGACTGTGCCTCAAGACAAAACAAATGTATTTAACATTTAGCATCCTAACCTATTTAGCATCCTAGCTAAGGAAAACTCTAGAATACCAGTTGCTTGCCCATTGATTACACTGTGGACTGGGAATTGCTGTCCAGCATCACCAGAGTATTACACACAACATATAACTCACCAAAAGGTGAATTAGAGTTTCTACTAAATGCATATTGCATTTATTCTGTAGTAAGTCCTAACTATCATAAACTGGCGATTGCATTTTAACAGACATAATAATGATGAGATGATGCTTAGCATTAACGCTAGATTTGGCGTCTGAACTTATATGCAATGGTAGCTGTATCACAGTTTTTATGCTATTTAACTTTTTGTAAAACTCCTTAATGAAAGGTATGATTCTTAAAATAATATGTTTCATCAGAAATTAGTAGCCAGAACATAAAATAGTACTTTACTTTTTGTATAGCTAGGTCAAGATTAAACAGTTAATTCGAGATATAATATAAAAATTTATAACTAAACCATTTTATATAAAAATTGGTTCTCCTAGGTGGGAGACATCGTTTCTGTTATTGACATGCCCCCCAAAGTGCTAAGTACATGGTGGAGAGGCAAGCATGGATTTCAGGTAAGCCACAAAAAGTTAGCTATGAGAAATCATAACCCTTTTCTTTTTCATTAATATTTCTGTTTATAAAAAGTACTGCCCATGGTTTTAGCCATCATAAATTTTGTCTGCAGTGATAGAAAATAAAGATGAGCCGGGTGCCAATGGCTCATGCCTGTAATCCTATCTACTCGAAAGCTGAGATCTGAGGATCCAGCCCAGACAGGAAAGTCCACAAGACTCTTATCTCCAATAAACTACTCAAAAAAGCTGCAAGTGGGACTGAGGTTCAAGTGGTAGAATTCTAGCCTTAAGCAAAAAGAAGCTCAGGGACAATGCCCAGGCCCAGTGTTCAAGCCCCAGGACTAGCAAAAAAGAAAAAGAAAAGGAAGATGATAATGACATTAGACTTGGATTCCTTTGTCTCATTGGTTTTGCAATTGCTTGTCTCTTCTGCTTCTTCATCTCCAAATGGTAGCATAGACAGAATGTGAGAAGAATCTCAGTTCTGAGGACCATTTTCTTTTTCTTTTCAGAACCATTGATGAGTATTTTTAAAATAAATAACCATTCATACAAATTTAGTGTACTAATTGCAGAACAACAGAATCTAAAGCTGTTTCATTTATTTTTCCCTTCTAAACAATTTGAGTTCTGACAACGCTGTCTTTTAAATTGACCTAGCATTAGTTTATTTGTTTTTTTAAATTGACCTAGCACGTAAGTTAGATAGGTTTGGGCTGGGAAGGTGGCTCAGTGGATGAGTGCATGCCTTGCATGCATGAGGCCCTGGGTTCAATTCCTCAGCACCACATATGCAGGAAAAAGCCAGAAGTGGTGTTGCGGTTCAAGTGGTAGAGCGCTAGCTAAAGAGCTGAGGGACAGCACTGAGGCCCAGAGTTCTGGCACCACGACTGACCAAAAAAAAAAAAAAGAAGATAGATTTTTATGTGGTTTGTTTTTGTTTTTGTTCCCTTTTTGGGGCTTGAACTCAGGGCCTGGCTGCTTTTTCTGAGTTTTTGTGCTCAAGGCTGGCACTCTAACATATGAGCTACAGATCTACTTCTGGCTTTTTGGTGGCTAATTGGAGATAAGAAACACGCCGACTTTCTTACCAACACTGGCTTTGAACCATGATCCTTAGTTCTCAGCCCCCTGAGTAGCTAGGATTGTAAGTGCAATCTACTATCACCTGTCCCTTTCTGATCTCAGGATGTTGTGTTTGCTAGGCAGGTACTCTACCACTTGGCCCATGCCTCTAACACTCTCCACCAGTTTTCTGCACCATAGAAGGGAGTATCTTTCCTTCACAACTAGCAAGGAGTTCAGTAAAGATTAGTCAGCTGTGCGCTACAGAGTATGTCTGTTCACTGGAGAGAACATTATTGTTACTGTGTGTCGTGCTCTTATATAATGAATAGTATACTTATGCCCTGAATACTTGTCCTCTGGCTACTGAAGGTATCTGCTCCTGAGATGCTTTGTTGAAAGATGAAGAATTTCTAATTGTACATGAGAACTTAACTTTTTAATTTTAAAATAACTGGAATAATAGCTTAATCCAATAGTCTTTATGTAATTTTAAACCTTGTGTAATTATTTAATCAAACAACAGCTCACACAGAGCCCAGAGTTCTGTGTAAGTTGACAGTAGAGCAACTCTGGTTAGTTCAAGTCAGCTTATTGGAACACAAAACCTCATGGCCCTGCCCGTATGCACCTGGTGTCTGCTAACAACTGCTAACTACTCTAGGTTACCAGTGGGCCTTATTTTATGCAGTACATATGTTATAGCAGAAGCTACTTAAAATTTTTAATTTTGAAAATCCAGAAATTAAAAATTAGAGAGAAACATATTATTTATAAGAGAATTTTTGTATGATCCCCCTTGAGGAAGGACAATATTAGATTGAAAATTTCTCTAGTGTAAAGTATGCCTGAATTCCTGGTATTTCATATATTGATGTGTAGATGGGTGGTGACAGGTCAGAATGGAGACATTTGTATTTATTTTGTGTGTTTTTTCTTTAAATTATTACCTTTAAAAATAATTCATGTCTGTTTTTAGTATAGTTTTAAATTTCCAGACTAATTGAGCAGATGCTTCTTGGAATTTCATAGCTTTTCTGTTATTTACATCTTGTTTTATATACATGAAATAGAACTAGCAAGTGCTGACTTTTACCAACACCTATCAGCTGCTGACTCCGTTTACTGGAATAAGCACAGTTTCTAGAACTGTAGAACACCCAGGCCAGAGTCACATGGATAAAAGAGCAATTGCAATTCCTAACCATGATTGCAAAACATTTTTCGTCTATTGTTATGAATAAGCCAGTGTTGATACGCTGTCACACCATCATTTACATCAGGGTTCATTCTTGATGGTGAATGCTGTACAGGATTTGACACCTGACTCATTATTCATCATTGTGGTTTCATAGAGAATATTATAACTCTCTTAAAACTGCTGTACTTCCAAACTTTTAGAAATCATAAGTCACTTCGGCAAAATAGCAGGATACAAAATAAACCCACAAAAATCGGTTGCCTTCCTATACACTGATAACGTACAGGAAGAGAGGGAAATAAAGGGAGCAACCCCATTCACAATAACCTCCCAAAAAATAAAATATTTAGGAATTAACCTAACCAAAGATGTAAAAGAACTATTTAATGAGAACTATAAAAAGTTAAAGAAAGAAATTGCAGAAGACACTAGGAAATGGAAAGACCTCCCATGCTCCTGGATAGGCCGACTTAATATAGTAAAGATGGTAATACTTCCAAAACTAATAAACAAATTCAATGCAATTCCTATTAAAATCCCAATGACGTACATCACTGAAATACAGAAAACAGTCCAAAAATTTATATGGAACAACAAAAGACGTAGAATAGCCAAAACAATTCTAGGGGATAAAGACAATATGGGAGGGCTATCCATGCCGAACTTCAAACTCTACTACAGAGCTATAATAACAAAGACAGCATGGTACTGGCACAAAAACAGACCCGAAGACCAATGGAACAGAATAGAAGATCAAGAACTAAATCCACAGGCCTACAGCCAGCTGATATTCGACAAAGGAGCCAAAGACATACAATGGAAGAAACACAGCCTCTTCAACTGCTGGTGCTGGTAGTATCTCATCTGGAAGAACGAAGAGACAAACGGTACATGGTCTCCCTGATAAGTGGATGCTAAATCCAAAATGTTAGGTGATACGACAAAACTAACAGGACTTAAGAAACAAAGAACTCCTGCTCATCTGGTTGAACCACTACTAATATCCCCATACTGCTGATCACATGTATGGTGTATAACATGTGAACACTGTTATATATTACAGACTGTGATAGACAATTTGCTCAAGAAAAGTAAAAAGAACTTGTGACTTAGAAATTATGTAATCACTTAATCACAATCAAAAAAAAAAAAACCGGGGAAGGGAGGGAGGGAGGGGATGGTAGGGGGAAAACAATGGAGGGGCTAACAATGTTCAAGAGGAAGTGTACTCATTACCTCACTCATGTATCTGTAACCCTCTGTATAGTATCTTTACAATAAAAAAAAAATTAGGAAAGAAGAAGAAAAAAAAAAACTGCTGTACTTCACTACGTATTTGTCTCTCCTTCCTGTTGAACCACAGGAACCACACATCTTTTATTATCATTAGAGTTTTCCTTTTTCCGGCTGTAATATTATTGGAATCATTCACTAGTGTGGTCTGCTTTTTTGGTTGATTTCTTTGTTTAGTAGTATGCAGTTAAGATTCTTCTTCAGTGTCTTTTCTAGGCTCAATGGTTTGATTCTTCCTTTTTAAAATCATTGTTTAAAATCTAGAACTATAGATATGCCAATGTATTTATCTTTAATAGCTCTTTTTAAAAAATTGTGTCCAAATATTCAGTACTTGAGAAGTGCCGGTTCATCTGTCTAGCAGCTGAAGGAAATCTTAGATGCCTCTGTGGTTTTGCTGTTGTGGTAGTGGTGGTGGTAGTGATTCTTTGTTGTTTGAGTTTTTTGTGTGTATGTATGTGTGTTACAGGTTTGTTGTTGTTGTGTCAGTCCTGGCTCTTAAAGTCAGGCCCTCTCATTCTGGCTTGTTTTTTGTCTCAACATCTAATGCTCTACCACTTGCTTCCAGTTCTGAAATTTTACTGGTTATTTACAGATCAGAATCTAGCAGATTTGTCTTCCTTTGCTGGCTTTGAACCCTGATTCTCACATCTCAGCCTTCTGAGTAGCTAGGATCATAGGGAGATGAACCACCAGTGTCCAACTTTTATCATTTTCTGTAGCAAAATAGTATTATTTTGGAAGGAACTTTACTATAACTTACTTACTTGTTCCCAAGTTGGTGAATATGTGGATGAATTCCAGTCTTTAGATATTAAAAAAAGTGTTGACTTATAAATTGTCCACATCATTGTGTAAGTGTAAAATATTCTATAAGGTGAGTCACCAAAGAAGAGTGTTCTTCTTTCTTTGCCACTGAGTGAGTATAAGATTCACTAGGGAACCACATTCAAAAGATTAAATCCAGGGTCTAAGCCCCCGAATTTTATTTCAGCATTTGGGAAGGATGTGAGGCTGACTTTGTGTGTTTTATCTCTATGCTTTAGGTGAACTCTGGCAGTCGGCTGGTGTTGGTAAAGGTCAGCACTTTGCCAAGTTCTATTTACTCTGTTATCTTTAGCTACACCATAATTTCTCCTTGGGAACAGAAGGATAGGTTCATTTGTGTGTTTAAATTACATCATGACTTTCTTTTCTTAAACATCTAGGAGTAGGAAGTGTGAAATTCTCTTAACTCCAGTAATTTGAAATTCTGAAATCCGTGGCTTTCTCTCTTGTGGAGTATCTTGAATTTTTTATCTTTGATTTTTGAGATATTTCATCATGAAATATACTTCAAGGGGAAAAAAAGCCTTCTGTTTATTTCTTTGTTTTCAAAGTAACTGGTTGTCACTGTCAGACTTGTGTTCCTGTGTGGAGACGATTGTTGGAATGGGGT